TTCACTGAGTTCATTCATGGGGTCTCTGTTTTGTATCAGCTGCTCTTTCCTTTTTTGGGAAGGTATCTATTGCTGTGTTCCCCTGCAAATGGTGGATCAAAACAGAGGGAGGAAAAAACCCTTTTCTTTCAGTTCAGCTTAGACCAGGGTCAAGTTTTCAGAAGTACCCCTTCCTTATAAACACCAAGTGCAAGAAGAATAAACACAGAGTCGTGATATAGATCATCGATTTTGCAATCTGAGTCAGTTGCTTTCTCTCAGGTTGGCTCGGCCAGCTCAAGCTACCCTCAGTCTATTTTCGGGGCTCAGTCCTCAAGTTTTCAGCCTAGGTAGACTTGAGCGGAACCCGTTATCCCCACAACAGCCTGCTTCCTGAGATGTGCCTTGATGGAATTTACTCCCACAGTTCTTTCTCTAGCTTCAAGCTCTCCGGTGATAGCCTTGGTGGTAGTTCTTGTTAATTTAGAAAACTAAAAAGAAAGCAATAGGTTTGATTCACAAGATACAGAATTATTAAATGTATAATTAAGTCTATAGGGAAGAATCTTCCTCCCCTGTACCCCAGAAGCCCAGTTTCCACCCCATCCCTAAACACAACTGTTTTAACAGTAGTTTGTAGGTATTCTACCAGAACTTCTTTTTGCGCATATAAAGCTCATTTATGAAAAGGGAATTGGGGATACTGGACCTGCCGATGAGGGACTCAGATGACTGGTAAACAGGAAGTAAAGTTTGTGGAGTGTTGTGTCCTTCTTCATTCCCAGCAACAGTTTTTTTTTTTTTTTTTTTTTTAAGATTGTTTATTTATAGATATAAAGCTGGGGTACAGAGGCGGTGAGAGGCTTCACCAGAGACAGAGTGGAGAGCAGAACAGATAGATTGACGAAGTACACTGCTGAGGGGAGCAGCGGGCGGGCCAGGAGAGGTCTGCCACGCCATGTGGTCACCTCCGGGGCAGGCGGGAATTGAACTCATGTGGAAGCGGCTTTAGATTCTCAGTGCTGTGCTTTAACCCGCTGCGCCACCAGGGAGGGCCCCCCAGCAACACTTTTAACCTTCTCCAACTGTTCCCCAGGGAGTTGTGAAGAGGAGGAAAAACTCAGTACATTTAACATAAGCTTTAAAATGCTTGTATAGTTAAAAATCAAGGCTCTATATATTTCAACCCAGAGAATCTATAGAAACCCAAATGTCTAAGTTATAAGAACAGATTTGGAAAATGCATTTGTTGGTATTACCTATCTTGAAATACGTATTCTTTCTCTCTTCACTTTTCACAAGGTAGCAGATTTAACAGTTCTCCATTTTATTTTTGTTTTGTTTTCACTCAATGAAAAGTGTCCTCTAGAGCACTTTCACTTTTTTTTCCACAATTGCACAGAATCCCCTTGTAGAAAGGAACCCTAATTTTTAGTGAGTATTAATTGGCCCACATGTATGGTGTTTCCCATGTTTTACTGCAATGAAAACTGTCCATATACTCAGTGACCTTGTCCACTCAAAACTTGCTCAGACAGAAATAAGTTCTGTGTTCTGCACTCATCCCAGGCTGGGTAGGTTCATTGGTGGTTCAGCAGCTTGAAAGAGAATGTTGGAGCCCTTGGCATCATTCCCACAGTTTAGGGGAAACAGGCAGCAGGGAGACAGCAACTTGGGTCCCCCTGCAAATCCCTTTACGCTCTTTCCTCTCGTAGCTATTCTCCACTCCGCCTGCAGCGCCCTCTACCACACCCGTCATCTGTGACACTGCCCTTATATGCTCAGCACCCAGGCTCAGGGGTGCCACTTACACATGCCCACGCCACGCTCCAGGGGTCCACCATCTGCCATGTGTGCCGATGTGCCCAGGCACCTCCTGCATTCTAATCACCACAGAGGTCAGCAGCTCAAAAGCCCAAGCAATCTTCATTTACCTGACAGTTTGGTAAGGGTCAGGGCTATTTACTGATTTCCCCACCCAGGCCATAGAATGTTGGCTCACCTGATCACACAGTCTCTGCTGTTCTGCCCATTTTGTGTATCAATACCTACTGGAGAGGGCTTGGGACTCAGGCTTTGATAATTATCAAGCTTTGAGAATAGGACAGAAATGGGGTTCTCTTCTCAAGACTGGTTCTAGGCCATTGGGTTTAAAGTTTATAAAGCAGATTCCCACACCTGTGTCTGATCCCTAACAGTAGGCGACCCGGTTCACGTGACGAAAGCAGCTCTCCATGTTCTCTCTTTTTGAATTCTCATCTGTTTGTACTTAACTGCCCCAGTAAGCCTTTGTTTTGCACCAAGTCCACTTATGACACCCTTTAATCAGCTGCTTCCTCCCTCTAGCTTTGTCTATGCTGCTGCAGAGAGCTGGCCGTGGCCGTGGCTTGCTGCAGCCTTGGCTGTCACATAAATAAACCCTCTCTGCAGGCTGCAGCCTCTCTGGGCAGAGTTGGCGAGGAGGCAACCTCTGGGTGTCCTGAGTCGGGAAACATCCTGGCGACCTTCCAGGGGCACTAATCACCTATTTATTCACATCAAGCCCCAGTGCTCCCTGTTATACCCACACAGATCCCTCCTCTGTCTTGCCCCAGGCAGGTTCCCTCATTCTTGACCTTAATGCCAACCCTTACCCTTGACCTCTTTTTATCTCTATTTTACCTGAAATATCCTCAGGGGCAGTTTTCCCAGTGTGGGTTCCTTAGGCACCCATTCCATAGAGTGGTCTTTGGTTTCAGAACTGTGTCCCGCAGCACTATGGGTACCCCAAGCTATGCTCGGGAAACTTTGCTCAGTTGTCTGTGGTTAGGTTAGGACATATTTTTTCACTTTCTGACACAGCATGGCTCCTTCACGTATGGGTTTGAGACTTCCCAATGGCAGCGAAGGCTGTCAGGAGATGTTTCTCTCTCCCGTGGTGAGAAGCAGCCTCTTTGCCTCTTCCTCTTTCAGTCTCCAGCTGGGGCTGCCCACGAGGTTTCTGGTTCCTGTATGAGATGCCTGTAGCCTCAGAGAGTGGCAATGACTGGCCTGCCTGGCCAGTGAGGATAAAAGGGCCCCTGTTTCTGTCAGTCTTGTCCACATCTGCATATGCCCCTGGGCTGTGCCGCTGGGGTGGTGTTCCAGGCTCTCCCTGCTAGTCTGATGTCCACATGCTGTGTCCACAGGACACGTTTTCTGTTTTGGGAAAAGGAAGGTGTTTTCCTTGCTTAACACATGTTTGTAGCTCCCCAAGGGTCTTTCTGTCGCAGAGAGCATAGTCTCAGTGTTATCATCACTATGTCCTGAGTATGATCTCAGCCAGGTAGCTGACCCACATGGTGCAGCAGACCTCTCCTGTCTCGCCCGCTGTTCCGCTGAGCAGTGTATTTCATCAGATCTGCTGTTCTGTGCCTACTCTGTCTCTGGTCAGTTCTCTTACTCCCTGCACCTCTGGCCTACACCCCAGTTCTTCTACACAAAATAAATAAATGAAATCTTTGAAAAAATATATTTAGCTCATAGGTATCTCTTCTATCTCAATCATATCTGTCCATGATGTTCTGTACAGAACACTAGCTGTCTGTAACTCCCTGTTCCTACTACCACAACAAGTGGGGAAGAGTTTGAGGGAAGAGTTAAGATCCAACAGGTGTGTCAGAAGCTCAAGGGCTTGCTCTTTAAGAATCATGGCCGGTGAGATGGGTAAATGAAATCTACTGAAGTTGTGAAGAGTCTAGTTCCTAGGGAATTCATTGGTTCTGCGGAACAGGTTATTCTGTTTTATAACTCACTTGCTTGTTTGGATCCAGTGAAAGAAAAAGCAATAGGAATGCTCCAGTATTTTGTGATAGGAAGAAAGCTGTCTGGTACCCAAACCCCCATTTAAAAAGAAAATTTGAAATGAGCCTCCATGCAAAAAAAAAAAAAAAAAAGAAAGAAAAAGAAAAAAGAAAATTTGGGGAAGCCCACAGGGGTTACAACTGAGATGGAAAAAAGCACAAAATGATGTAAAAATAAATTATATTATTAAAAAAAAAGAAAAGAAAATTTTGAGTACTGATGACTTTTCAAAATTACCTCATGAGTTTATTTAACATGCTGTCTGTGCATACCCCTTTCCATCCCCAAGAATAGAAGTTTCCTGAAATAGGCCTTGCCTATTGTGTTTGTTTCTGTACATCTGGGGCTAAAACAATCTCTATCGCATAAAGAGCAGCTCAATCCATGTTTGATGCCTGAATAATGACTGTCCTCTGCTTAGTGGGTCCCTTGGAAGGACTGCTTCAGTTGCCCAGGGGATGGTGGTGAGACCACCCAAGCCACAACACCAAGCTGAATATCTCCAGTGGACATGGAGGAAAAAATTGGGTGGGCTTATGTGAAAAGATGTTAAATTTGCAGAACACTTGGGATTGAATCTTAATTCTGCTGTTGACTCACTTGGGGGTCTCTCTGAGCCTCACTTTATCTCTACAAGTGGTATAATAAATTGCACCCCACATACACCTACTTTGCCATCCTTGACTGAACAATGTGTGAAAAAACTAATTTCAGAGCATAAAGTCTGCAAATGTGGAATGTTACAAAATGCTAGTCTTTTCCTTTCTGGCTTTTTTTTTTTTTTTTTTTTTTTTTTTTTATTTATACACATTACCTGAAGACACGCGTACCTCTGTTGAGTCTATTTGAATCAGGGTCTCCTGGAGCGGCCCTCATGAGTCTCCTGTCTTTCACAGTCATCTAAGTAGTGGGCCCCATCTAGGATTTCTCTGA